CATTTTTTGCGATTTTTGTATCTAGGCCTATCTCAGGCGTGTCTTGGCAAGTCCACATCTTTAATATAGGATTTTAGTATAGGACATTCACAATATGGTCAATTGACAGCTGTCAAAACAGGATAGCCACTGACCAGTATCCTATGACCATATCGCGGGCTCATGTGTCAACTCAGTAATAAGTAATCGGATGAAATTCAGGCTAAGAAACACAATGATTTAGTTTTAACAACTGAGTTGGCAAATTATCACTGCGAAAAGGTTTAAAAGCGGGCGTTTCGAGTGCCCTCTGTCAGTCAACCTCCTCTCAATCTCTTAAAGTTGGTAAATCGACTTATAATCAGCTCAGTTTATAAAACCAAATTGAGGTGTAGTTTAGTTATTTGCTAAGCAAATATTGGTGTTCGGGATATGAGCCGGGATAGCTCTTACTGGAAATCGAGCCTAAGGCTATATATTCACACTATACCCGATATTTGTTTTGCCGGCACAAAAATCCTACTGGATAGAGCTTCTGTTCACCATAATTACGGTGACTTCGGCGCGATTTCTAGGATAGAGCGAAGCTGTACCGCGCCGATATCAACAGTGGAACGTCATGCATCGGATAGGTTTTGTGCCACACTTTAGTGCAGTCTGTAACGGAAGTGAATAAGTAGGAGCGAGGACTCGATTCCACTGAGACGGAAGTAAAAAGTCAGGCGTGTGGACTAGGATTTCTCCGCCAACCGCCCTGCCTCGATATTTGATGTGTCTGAGCGACTTTGTTCCAGTTCTGTCGTTGCTGTTCCGTCATACTATACCAGACAGCTCGGCACAAAAAGCTATCGGGTCAGTATGAAGATAGCCTTAGCACGAATTACTAGAAATGAAATGTTATAAGACAGGTTTAACATTAATTTGTATTAATATTAACTTTAGAGTTTAGCTAAGATCATTTTAAAGAAAAAAGACAGAGTTGCGGTTATTTCGCTAACTTTCGGCAAGAGTTGCCTAGTTTTTGCTAGAAAACGTTACTTTGCGGGATCAACGTGGTATAAGGCATGTTCGTGGAGGAAAAACACCTGTTTCATAACTTCTCAAGAGTGGGCCAGTAGTTTTATTGGCTAAGTAGATTTATTGTTATACAGTTAACACCCGCGCGCATATATAAGAGCCTATGTTTTCGGAGTTCAGGCTGATCAATTTCTTATTATTTTAATATAATAGGTGCTTAGTGAGAAATCAACCTGAAAATGTTATCTTGAAATTTTCTTGAAATTTGTTTCGGAAATACTATACATCATACATATTTTTAAAATAGAGTTTTAATTGACATTACAATGTTTTATTACTGACACGAAAAATAAATTTGAAATAAAAAATAAATGAATACTATAACTAATAAAAGAAAACACTAACAACTAAAAAACTCAACATCAATTTGTGTAGTAGTTTAAATATTTCATAACATTTCTTAGTTCAAAAGACCAGCAGTCACTAGCCCATTTTCAGTCTCGCAGGTTCGTTATGCGGGGGCATCCTTTTTCTTTTTGTACAACACCATGTTTTACCTATCAGGCTGACTTGCTTCTATATGTTGCTTTTTAGTCAAACTTTATTTTCAGCCTGATGCTCTTAATCCACTTGTTCTTATATGCGTGTTTTTAGTATATCGTATTTTGTTAACATTTATATCGTATAATTATATAATGGCAGTGAAGATAGATACACTTGTTAAACCCATTAATGTCTGCTTTTCCTTTTCTGCGTTATTCATCTTTAAGAGTCTGTGACTCCTGATCTTAGTGCATTGTCTCTCAGTAAGTGCATGCTGTGTAGTTATAGGTCCTTCTAAGTTGCAATCTGTAAGGCTTTGTAATAGTTTAATGGACCGTTTAATGGTCATTCTGTAGATACGTTATTCATGTACTTGTCCGTGCCCCGCCACGAATAGCTTCTAGCCATTTGCGGGGCAAGCTATTCAAGTCCTGCCTAAAAAGAATAAAATTGTTGTTGTTTGTTGTTAAGTGATTGGTGCTTATTGCAAAGGAGGGTAAAGTGAACGCAACTTGCAGTCAAATGAACTTACCATAATACTGTACAAACGTTTGAGCAGCAGTAAATCGACCCCGGCATGATTTTAATCTTCCCTTCAGTATATGTAAGCAGGATATTGTTCTCCAAAAATCCACTAGTGCGGTCTTTGCATTATGCTAGTCGCCAACCAAATGAGTTTCTATGTTTTATTGTTATTTTTTATTATTGTTATTGTTATATATAATTTTTTTTTTTTTTCATGACAAACGTTTACCTATTGATAACGTCTATTTTAATAAATACGATGCCCCATTGAACAGAGAACCTTTCGAGGCGCCGCCACTACTGATTTTACCCTTGTTTCGCAGTGGAAAAGT